TCTGAATGCCTACGTTTTCATGCCAAGGTCTGAAACAACTAACGATTATCATCAGCGTAGAAATGTTGAAATTTAGCATTTTAAAGCTTTTAACTTAAAACTTAATAAGTGTGTTTTAACGCACTTGTCCTTATTGATTGAGAAAAGAGCGCACTTTTGATCGTATTACCTTATACGAAGTAACGCAATCGAAGTGTGATTCCGGTCCACTGTGCGTTTTCAGGCGCGCTCGATAAAACACCCAGGCCTGGAGAAAGTTGGAAGGGCGATTTTCTGATCCTCCTTACCACAAAATGACCCTAAGCGAAAAAATGCCCGCGGGGCGCTGCCAACGCGTGCCAGCGGCCCTGCTAGTAAGGGCGAAAATCAATGCATGTGTATGCGGAGCACACCCTTAGCGCTACGATGGCTCCTTGGAGACACCTGGAGAAACCTCTGCCGGCAGAAGGGTAAGGTCCCTCGCAGACGGCGCGGCACGGCGGGAGCTTAGCGGATGGCCTAGCCGGAAAGAGGATAAAAATAGCCGACTGGCCCGACCCAGCGAGGGGTGACCGAAGGGTGACCAGGAGTGAATGAGGGAACATACACGCGGTACCGAGCAGCCGATAACAGCACCGGACGATTAGAAAGTCATAAGTCAATGTTGTATTTTAGGCGTAAGGAAGCATCCATGTAGACGGGCGGACTGTCTCCAGCTCTTCCAAGTATTGCTAATATCTTGCTCCAACGAGCGTTGGCACGTTGGAAGTTTTATCGACCACTGTCACCACCTTTCACCTAAAAGTTGTCAATTTAATTTTGGCCATATTCCAGCTAAGTCATCAGGCCATCTACCCCATGTAAAGCCCCTGTCTGTCTCTTATGTGAGTTATGCGGAGCTCTTCTGAAATGAACCCTAAACATAATGAACCTAGCTAGGTTTCATGCCACACTGACACCATATGAAAGTGTTGAAAATGTGCTACAAATTTGACAACTTCATTAGGTATGCTTTATGAAGACAGCAGGAAAGCAGGTAGGTACCTACTTACCTGCCTAGATGTGTCACTGGCTACCAACAGTACCAACGAAGGTAGATAGGTTATATGTGAAGAATTCAAAACATTTTATTGCAATACAATTTGAAACTGTTAGGACTGGGGGATAGGGATGAGGATTAAAAATATATTTAAAAGGAAATTGAGAGGACAGGGACTCTGGAACCACAGGATAAGTTAAGGACAAAGGAAGTAGGAATTAAGGAAAATTAAAACGCGAAAACGGCACGGTGCGACTGCGAAAAAAAAACAAAGAAAATGTTTTGCCAACAAGTATGCTAAGCTTTTATAAATGCTTATTCTAAGTCTTTGATTTTTTGGTAAGATGACGTCATTGATAATCATGTAGTATGGTAGATTATCATAAAATAAATCGGTTTTACCACACTAATTTCGTTTTAATTATTATTTCATTTGAAATAAAACCACTTTATAATATTCGGTAAAATATTTTAAGGAAAATGAAATATATTAAATATGTTATGCTTAGGCTGTCAGGAGAAAAGGATCAACAAACGTTCTGCTGCAAATTAGACAATGCAGCAAATTTAGCGAGACGAAAACGGCGCTTTTGTTTCAGTTATTTTTGTAGGGGTAAAAAGATGTAAAAAGATATTTATAGAGTTCAGTGGGATGCTTCTGAGGAGATGTGGAGATGTGAATTATTAATTAATCACACTTTATTAGAATATAGGGCCTTGCACTTTATCACCTGGATTAAAAAAAAAACGTTTCCTGCTGCATGAGTGCAGAAAGGTAGGTAGGTGCATCGCCAGGTTCTATCACCAGGATTGGAGCAGTTATTGCATAGTGATTGCAGTTGAAAGTCAAAGTTGGCTGTTCATGTTTAGGCCCTGTTCTTTATTTGGCCATCTACCCCATATTGCAGTTGTGATGACAAGCAGTTTTCAGTGTAGTTTTGTGATCTTTGATGTCAATAACTGGTGTCATTATTTTTCGTCAACTAAAACTTATTTGAACTTTCCATTCAATCGACTCAATCATACGAGTCACTCTAATTTTCGGGAATCAAATCAGTCAACCAGTCGCTAAAGTCAAACGAGTCAGTCAACCAGTCATCTCGAAAAGTCAATCGACTCAATCCAATCAACTCAAAATACGCGTTGAATCAAATCAATCAATTCAATCGACTTGATTGGTATACAACCCTGGTTGGCAGAACGCCAATAACGATCCGGAAATGGTTAAACAGATTCGCTGCAGAAGGAGAGCCCGGCATGGAGCCAAGGCATAAGTCTGGACGGCCAAGAACCACCAGTGATGAACAAGATCAAGCCATGGTGGAGGTAAGTAAGATAATTTGTGCGTTACAATCAGACATGTTCTTGGATCCCAACAGTGGATCTATGATCTCGGTGAATCCCGTGGCAAAATGGAATCATGGATCCATGATCCCAACGGATCTCTGGACGAAAGCGAAGGTCGGATCTATGATCCCAGTGGATCTCTCGACGAAACCAAAGGTCGGATCCATGATCCGAGTGGATCTCTCGACAAAACGGAGACTCGGATCTATGATCCCATATGATCTCGGATCCAGATCCATGGGATCAGATCTCCAGATCCATTTTTGGGATCCACGAACATGTCTGATTACAATTGCTTTTATCCCTCGGTCGCACATGGGAATTGGAAAGGGGAATGGTTTCCATATCCATATTTTTCGTTGGTGCACGCTATGTCTTTCGAGCTAGATATTTGAAATTTGGAATATCTGCTTTTTCATTCTTTCTCTGGCTTAGCTGAACAATTGAAGTCCCTGCGTCTTTTGGTTCCCGAGATGTGACCTCATGTGCGATGTCACGTCACGGCCGAAACCGCCGATTCGCCGTGTTCCGCGCTAAATTCACGCATATTTAACCACGTTCGGTCAAGTTGTTGGTTGTTTTAACCCTCGCCCGTAAACGGCGTTTTGCCATCCTCGCCCATGCAGGGGGGGTTGGTGCGACCCCCCCTGGCGTTTGAGAATGGAGCGTCGTAGAGCTTAGCGGGAAAGAACAACAGATTGCTCTCAACGAGATCTCGCGATTGGTGGTATAATTTTTGGTCCCAGGTCAACATTTGACCTACTTTTGACGGGTCAAAGGTCAATTTTTCGGAAAATCGACTTTTCAACTTTCCGCGGCGATTGCGGCAAAATGGTAGGAGATATCAACTTGAAACCTTCACCATCGTGTTCCTTGATCAATTCTCTATCGTTTGGTATGTATTCTAGCTCTAAAAATGGCGCGTTGGGAGCACCGGAAGTCGGCAAGGTTACAGTCGCCGGCAGAAATTCGAAAAATCAAAATTTAAAATTTTGAAATCCGATTGTATTTTTGGATTTGGGAGGTCAATTTGCTCCCTATAGAAGCTATTATTGCTCCATATTCCCACTGAGGTGACCAGAATTAGCAAAATAGTGATTCGCGCGCTTTTCAGAAATAGCACCGGACGCTGTTCCTCTTATGACGTCATAGCTTCGTGACCTGACCTGACCTGTTCAAGTTTCTTGCACCAAACGATGGCCAATACCTACTTGCCCTAACACCCTAACAGGTGACCTCGGATGACCTAGGGACACTTTCCAAAGGTCACCGGTGACATTTTTCGGTAAAATGACCATCAGGGACCTGTAATACCATGATCCTGAGCATATTGAGTGGATCGGGTGACTTCAGAGGAAGTTGAAATTTCTCCCATTGACTTATATACATATAATGGTGAGGTCGTGAGATTGACCTGAGCTCAGATCACAGATATAAAAAATCTGAGATATACTTTTTGTGGAAATCACCTTCACTAACTCCTGAAAGTTTCATATCGATCGCTCAACAGTTGTAGCTTTGGTGTAAGATCAAACTTTTTGTGAGATTGGGTCACTCAAACTGACCTGGTGACCTGACATAAGGTCACATAGGGTCAAAATTTTTCACACACTATGCGCAAATGTTAGGAGAAAAGCTATACAAAATTTGGCGGCGCTGCGCGCCGCCGTTTTCCCGCTGTCTGCGAAAAACCTGAAGGGGGGGGGGGGTGTAAAACCGCCCCCCGGCCCGGCATGGGTTAAAAAAATATTTTTGTATCAATTATCGTGGTCGAAAGTGTGTATGTGTGTGTGTGTGGGGGGGGAGGTCGAAGCCACTCACAAAACGGGCAAATCAGTTTTTTTAGTTTAAGTGGGGGTCAGGAGTTCTGACTCAGGACCCCTCCGACTCCCCTCCCCGTCGACGACGCCCCTGCCAAACAAAAAGCGGAAAGTTTCCTTTAATCACTTGAATCGTTTTGTTTTGTAGCTGGCAAAGGAGCAGCCTTTTATGGCAGTGCGCGACGTAGGAGCAGCTGCGGGTGGCGGTCACCTGCACCCGACTTCCATAGCTAACCGGCTGAGGAAGGGAGGACTCAGGACTTATAAAGCGGCACCTACTCTGCGCCTAACGGAGGCCAACAAGGCCAACCGCGTTCTCTTTGCGCAAGAGCACCTGGCAAAACCTCCGGACTACTGGAAACAAGTCGCTTTTACGGACGAGAAGATATTCCGTACTGACCAGGCTGGGAAACTTTACGTTCGAAGGTAATAAAATGGATTGCACTTTCCCTTTCTCGCTCCCTCTCGCACTGGATATGAATAAGTGTTTCACGCCTAGTCAGCATTACTGAACATTAGATTGGACTATAATAACGCACAAGAATCATTCGAGTAAACGGGCTGCTGTGCTACTTAGCGCGCACATACGACGCACTAGAGTCTAGCTATAGGTATCAACATGTTTACTCTGTGCTAGTCAGCTATTAGCGGAGACACCTTTCACCGCACATCTGTGTTCAACTGCAACTTATACCGTAGCTGTGACATCTATTGTTCAGGCCTAAGGGACTGCGCCACTCAGAGGAGTTCAGGAGAGTGAAGGACAGCAGTGGACGTCTGACAGTCCACGCGTGGGCGTGGGTCGATGGATTCGCACCAGGTGAAATCCATCGCATCACAGGCAGACACACGGCCGCCAGCTACGTGGAGATACTCGATGAGGTGATACATAACTGCAAATAAACAACAGAAAAAAAAAACGCAAAGCGCATGTTGTTGTGAGTTCATGATGGATGTTGATGACACCAATACCTATTTAAATATAAATACATTTCGTGGTGGTGTTAAATGTATTCAAATACAGGTAACGCACTAAAGACGATCTTGTATGGAAACGCGTTTGCATGTTTTGAATACATAGCCCTTCATATTTAAATTAGTATTGGTGCCATCAACAAAAAAAAAAACATGGCCGTGGTGTATACGAAATGTTTATTGAACATGGATGCGGATAGAAGCCGAGAAAACGGTCGGTTCCGGCTCCAACAGAGATGAATAATAGGTATATATAAATTAGACAACGAAATTGACGCCTGTCATTTAATGTCATATGATCTATAGATACCATAGAGCCTGGCAGCCGTGTTTGACGGGGCCCAAATGCCTCTCACAGACACTTCGAATGTTCTTTAGTGTGCCGGCACGCATATCTGAAGCCGGAGCCGGAGCTGGAGCCACCAGAGCCGCTAGATTTTACCCGAAGCCGGAGCCGGAGCCGTTTTTAGATTTCACTCGAAACCGGAGCCTTAGCCGACTCAGATGTGCACGGCTCCGCATCCCTGATCTTGAATGCAGTGAATGCAGTGTATTTGAAAGTGAACAACCGTCATGTTTTTTTTTTTATTGGGAATTGGAGAGTAACCAATAGGGTGTGTCATTTTGGGCACTTTTTTCGCAAAACATGGTGCTCCACTGATTTTATCGTGCCCCAGACACGTAGAAACCGTGTGACATTTTTTATTTCCCCCAAATATTAACACCCATGCGGCGCCGACCGCCGACACTTTGGCCTATCTCTCAGCATTAGCGACCTCAGCGCCCCTAGCGGCAATGTTTTGAACTAACACGCCCGCTATGCTTTGTGAGCTTACGATCATCATTAAATGCATTTTACCGAAATGACGCCTTGCTGTTGGCATGTCTGGCACTCAGAATGTTGGTGAAAATGTGATGTTATGCATCTTAACCCGCGCCCTGCTGGGGGGGGGGGGTGTTTGAACACCCCCCTTGTGGTTTTTCGCGAATATCTCAAAAACGGCGGCGCGGAGCGCCGCCGTTTTTGGTACACCTTATCATACATCAATTCTACACATGTTGTGAAATTTTCAGACCAAGGTCATTCAAGGTCAGGTCACCAGGTCACTTGAAGTGACCTCACCTCATAAAAAGTTTCAATGTCTGTCATAGCTACACCGAGTGACCGATCGCTTTGAAACTTTCAGCGATTGCTAAGAGTAATAGCATGTACAAAATGTATATCTCAGAATTGTGATATCGATGACCTAAGGTCAGGTCAATTTTGCGACCTCCCCATTATAAGTCAATGGGAGAAAATTGAAATGCGCCTCTTTTGGACGAAAGACATTATAAACACTCCCAAACACCTAATTACAAGTAGTTTAGACAAACTGAACATGAAAATGGTGTCCATGACCCTTGTTTATGCCCTGAGGTCATCTTAGGTCACGAATGGTATCTAACAGTTTTTCGCAAATAACTTTTGATAGAGGCATGCTAGAGCGATGAAAACGCCTTAGATGTGTTCAGCTCGACGATACGGATCGACTGATATGCAACATGACCCTTTCCGGTCAGGTCATGACCTTGACCTGAGGTCAAATTTTCAAGTTGACCTTTCAAGGTCAAGTTATAGTTCATTCGATGCGTCTTGACGAGAGGAACACGATGCCGGTAAAAGTAAGCTCGTACAGGGCCTGGTTCAAAAGTTATTGCAGAAAAACTGTTTCCGAAAAATCGGCTATTTTTGCAGTTTTTGCCCCCTGCAGGCAAAACCGTTGACGTTAGGTCAAATCTGAGAGAATTACTCAGAAAGGGCGTTAATAGGGCTATCGAATGCGCTTTTCCGCGGCGCTGTAGCTCTATTGGTTCCCGAGTTATGCGTTGGCTTCTTGGAAATTTTCGACATTCGACCTGGAAATCGGCGAAATTTTGCCTTCAATGACCTCTGGTGACCTGACCTTTGACCTGACCAAAAAATTGACCGAAGTGATTTCGTCATTATTTTTGACGCTCTTTCGAACGCCGCCTTCCGCGTATCGCTACGTGGCCCAGGAGCCGAGTTACAAGGGGGGGTGTTCAAACACCCCCCCCCCCAGCAGGGCGTGGAAATCCAGGACCCCCAGCCGGGCGCGGGTTAAAGCACGAAATAGTTCTGTGTTAATGTATATTGCATAGTACTACCCCGATCCCCGTCCTGGTCTGACGGGATACGTACGAGTGCATGTTTATAGTGCCTGCTATTAGGTGTCACATGTTTTTTTTTGTAGCGTCGTTCACTGCATAGACCCCGGGGAACAGGGGGGGGGGGGGGGCAGTGGGGGCGCTTGCCCCCCCCCCCCCCCTCCAACTTGAGAGCCGAGTGGGCGCCGCCCCCTCAACATTGATGCAACGATGAAGGACCTCTTTATTTTTTATGGACTTTTTATGGACCCTTTTATGGACCTACATGTCTGTTTTTATATAAACATCAGCACAAGGATTTCTCTTGCATGTGAAGTGAATGGTTTCTGCTGACTCGGCATCGATTTAAGAACACCTGCTATTATCATCCCACTTTGATTTTATCTGAACTTGATCATAACTTTGGTAGGTCAGATTTTATACTGGACCATTTTGGTTCCGGATGGTATTTGATTTGGCGTGATGAGAACATTATGACGTACAACGGTGGTAAAGTCGTTGATTGATACAGGTTTACTCGCTCCGGTGGGAGGCAGTAGCGGCGGAACACCTTCAATTAAGTGGAGGGGGGGGGGGGGACACTGCCGACTTTTGGTCCCATTCTTTCCATGCAACGCCCATAGGGCTAATGTTAAAATGCCCAAATCAGAGGGGGCACGGTGCCCCGGTGCCCTTCCCGTTCCGCCGCCTATGGTGGGAGGGCGGCGTGTGGGACTCAGAAGGAGACTAATGGCTTGTGTTGTGCCTTTGGTAGGACCCTCAGTATCACCGATGCAGGGCCTTCAGAGCCTCCAATTAGGGGCCTTTAGAGGCACTGGTGTGGGGTCCTCACATACGCCCGTGTGGCCCCTCAGAGGTGCTAGTGTGAATCCCTCATAAGCACCGGTGAGGGTCCTCACAGAATACAGACGCCGTTGTGGACCCTCAGAGACACTGGTGTGGGTCCGTTACATGTGGGTGTGTGGCCCTTAGAGCTGCTGGTGCGAACCCTTTAAAAGTCGGCAGGGGGCCCTCAACGACCGGGGAGGGGGACCTCAGACCGGCAAGGGGCCCACAGAGGCCGGCGGCATCTTCAGAAGCCCTGTGGGGTCCTTAGATACCGACAAGGTACTCTGAGACGCCAGTGCGGCCCTCAGTCTCTGATGTAGGGCCCTCAGAGTTGCAGGTAGGTGGCCGTCAGATATGCTTTTGCCGAACCCTCACAGGCGCAGGTGTGGGTACCTCAGAGCCACCAATATAGGGTTGCATAAATGGTGTGGCACTGGCTTGGGGGACCCTCAGTGGTGTCCTTATGGGCCCTTAGAACCACTGGTGTGGGTCTCTCAGAGGTGCTGGTTGTGAACCCTCAGAGGCCCTGCTGAGGGCCCTCACGGTCTCCGTTATGGGATCCTCAGAAGCCGGCGTAGACCCTGACGGAGATCTTAGTGTGGCTACTTAGGGGCTCATGAGGTGCTCTTACGAGACCTGTGAGGTCTTTCTCAGCTGAAGTATAGTCAGCGTGGACCCTCAGAGGTCAGTTGGTACCGCAGGGGTCTTTATGGCCGGGTGGGCTCTCAGAAGCACCAGTGAGGGCCCTCAGTCTCACAGTCGTCGTAATGGGGCCGTCTGAGACATTGGTGTGAGGCCATTACTGATTACAGGTTGGCGTAAGGCCCTAGATATGGCCCCTCTTGGGCCGGCAAGGACTCTCAGAGGCACGCTAGCGGCCATAAGAGGCCGGTAAAGGGCCCTCAGAGGCCGCCAGTAGCCTTCAGAAGCCGGCGTGTAACCCTCATGGACAATTTAGTGAGGCTTCTTTGGACTCACGAGGTGCTGTTACGAGCCCTATTCTTTCTGAATCGAAATATGGCCAGCATAGACCCTGAGCGGTAAACTGGTGCCACAGAGCCCCTCCGACCCGAGGGGTCCTCTGAATGCGATAGGGGGGGGGGGGCATAAGCGTAGGAACCATGGGTGCAAGGGTGCAGCTGCACCCACAATATTTATCCAGTGGGTGCAGACAATGTATTCTGCACCCACAATAATCTGAACCAAAAACCCCTTTTTCATCAACACTACTTCCCATGCAGCACGGCAAATTCAGGATATGTTGCCTACTATCCATCTTTCGAAGCATTTGCTACTGTGATCAGTGATGGTCTTCAAAACTTACATTTGTGCTGAAAAAGGGAAATGGAGCATGTGATTGAACACATACCGAACCGATGACCCACTGTCAAAAATTTTAGCCCGACATCTTCGAAAATGGCTAAGTTGACCGCTTTTACTTTTTGTGGTAGTCAATATTGACAATATTAGCCCTCGAATGTGTGCAGCGTTTTCCAGCTTCTAATGTGTAGGGGGAGGGGGAGGGGCAGGCGCGGATACAAGGGGGGGGGGGGCCATGGGGGCCATGGCCCCCCCCCCCTTGGCCGATTTTTTTCAAAAATAAAATAAAAAGTTAAAAAGTTAACCCGCGCACCGACGGGGGGGGGCGGATATCCGCCCCCCCCTGAGGTTTTTCGCGAATAGCGGGAAAACCGCGGCGCGTAGCGCCGCGAAATTTGGTATGACTATTCCCTTATCAATTTTACACATGGTGTGCAAGTTTGAACCTCCTACCTTTCAAGGTCAGGTCACCAGGTCACTTTGAATGACCCAACCTCAAGTCACTTTTTTGCAACTTTGTCACCGTGCCAGAGCTACAGTAGATGTCGGAGGCCTTTGAAAGTCGCAGGATGTTATTAGGTCATTAGTAGCTA